TTTTATAATTTTTTGTATGTTTTGATGGTTCAATTGAACTGAGTACAGCCACAAGACATGAACAATGTATGTTGTATGAATGTTTTAGATATTTGTACTGGAAAAGAAGAAAAAATAAATCAATTACAATTTATTTTGGAGTACTAATATGATTTTTGTGCGAAAAATTCACTTTCTTTTTTTTTGTATGTATAAAGTGATATCCAACTTCCTTGACATGACAACACAATGTGTTAAACCCTAAAATAACTATAAAAACATTTATTTGAAACTTAAAAAGGGTAACACAACTGGTGAACAAATCTAATAAAACAAAGTGAAAAATCTTGTGTTGCTCAGCCAACATCACATACAACTATTCTAGCGCTCTCCAGTTTACCACAAGCTTAACAAAGGCTCATTGTGTTCTGGTCTGTCCCTCTTGTAAACTTTGGTATCACTATCTTTTCTCTCAGACATGACATGTTTATTGGTTTCTATATTATATAACAAAGCAGGCTGATACAAATCAACAATACTTGATCAATTTCTGATGGAAAAATCATGTGCCAAACCCTTTACTACCCCCTGTAGTCGCTTGTTTGCATGTGTGTGTATTTTGAGGTTTGAAGTGTTCTTAATTGTTTCTTCCTTGTTACCTGCACTGAATTTAGATTAATCTTTAATCTTCTAATCTTTAAAGTCCCCCTTAAAACTCCCTTAAAAATGTTTGATCACCAAAATGACATAAGCGTTTTTTTCTTGAAAAAAATATCGTCATTGAAATATCTCGAATGTAACTCGACACCCTTGCCTCATTTAGTGTGCGCGGTTCTATGAATATGCAAATGAGCCCCGCCTCCACTCACTCCCTCAGCTCAGAGATCCACTGGTTGACGATCACACGTTGATCTGATTGGTTACAAGGTCGTTTGTGACGTCAGAAACACCAGCGATTTCAAACCGTGTTTTTGAGACTGTCTTTGGTTCACTGCAGTTTTAAGGAGGAAATACTCAGCAATGCTGTCGACTTATGAACTTACACATGGTGTGTCTTAAAGCATATCAATAACACCACACACACATATAAACAACATTAAAAGCTGGATTTTCACCACAGGGGGACTTTAAAACAAACGCTGAGATGCAGTGGATGTTCTCAAACTCTTATGAATCTTTGTTCCACTTCTGAGGTTACAGAGCTCTTATTTCAGGCCTAATTCTTAATCAAAATGTTGCTTCGGTACACCAAAACCGCTGGCATTCAGTACAGTACATGTTCTGTTCAAACACAGATGGCACATGGGAAACTTTCCCTAAAACTGTGCCACACTTTGATGAGTGTGTGGTGAAATAGTTTTCCCCCCAACCATTTTAATTGACTTTTAATTGTCTGAACTCAAAAAGACTTTCTACTTCTACTAGAAAATCTGGTATACACTTCAGTCTTTATTTAAAGATCCAGTATGAACTAAGACAGATGATTCGGAGCACAAACGATAAAAGTGAGAACCACAACAATGATAACAACAGCTCAAAGAGATGGATGGATGTGTGGTCGGATGTCCTGGATGTCCTGTCCTGGACCACAAAACCAGAACACAGGTTTACGGTCTACACTATAAACAATGTTATAATAATCATTTATACAGGGTATAAAGAGATAGGATAAAACAAAGTCTGTTCTGCATTTGATCTGGATCTTGATAACGGACAGCACTTTTCCCAGACTGTCTTCAGAAAGCCGGCGAGTGAACGAAAGATCTGCTCCCTGCAGAAAGGAATTCATTTAGCTTTGGTTGAAGGGTTTGATGCGCCAAAACACATCGAGCGTATACGATGACCCTCACAGAAAGCTTCTTAGAAGTTTCGTATGCATTTAACTGGATCTATTAGCTGATGATAGCATATACTGCAGAATACACGCAGATGGATGTTTGTCATTTAAAGGGATAGTTCACCCAAAAATTGGGTCAGTAATTACTCTCCCTCATGTTGTTCAACCCCGTAAGACTGTCGTTCATCTTCGGGACACAAATGAAGATATTTGTGATTAAATCTGAGAGCTGGATCACTCCTCCATAGGCTTCTACGGGATTGAAACTGGCCGGCCCAGAAAAGTTAAAGACATCTTTAAAAAAGTCCGAGTGACTACAGTGGCTCAACTTTAAGTTTATCAAGCGACGAGAAAACTTTCTGTGCGCAACAAACAAACAAAAATAACGACTTTATTCAACTATTAATTTCCTTCTCTGTGGGCCTCGAGTGAGTTCACGTAGTGTAACAGCGCAGCGCTTCTGGTGTACGTCACACGCATCACACACATGACCAGCGTCGGCCAATAGTGAGCCTACGTGTGACGTACAAGAAGCGCGCGGAGTCTCTATCGTCATCACCGGCGGCCATCTTGTCACAGGCAAGCTTTCTGGCGGGCGCCTGATGTAAGATGAGTGATCAGCACGAACACAAATACTCTTATCTCGGTGAAATCTTGACGGATTTACAAACGGTTTGGTTTCTTACAAACGTTATTAACGTGGCTATAATTCTGGATGATTAATTATTGATACACTTATTATTCATAAGTGTGCAGTGTCATAACTACTTCTCTGACGTTTATAACAAACCAAACCGTTTGAAAATCGGTAGAAAATTGAGCAAGTTATGGTTATTTAAAGAGTACATGCACCATTAAAACACAATGTTACGAGTGAGCGAGCTGCCTGTGACAAGATGGCCGCCAGTGCGGACGTCGACCTCCATTGGCCAGCAGCGCGGACGAGTCATCTAGCCTTTATTATGGATATCTATGGTTGGAACAACATGAGGGAGAGTAATTACTGACAGAGTTTACATTTTTGGGTGAACTATCCCTTTAAGGCTCTTCAAGTGTAGCATAATAATGAGCTCTTTTTAACTGCAAATACTGTTTCTCTTTCCGAGGTAGGTACGGATGGTATTAAGATCGTCAGTAACATCAAGTTATGCAATGTTAGCTTTGCAACAGTAGTATCATCCAAGTCTGTGTTCGATCTCAATTTCAGATACAAAGAAATATGAATTCCTGGAGTGTAACACAGCAAGTACACAGTACATAAGAACAGTGAGTACAATATGATAAAATAAGTTCATGTCTTACCTATAGCTAATGGCATGCATGAGTGGGTTAACTGTATCATATGAAGCATACGGTGACCTGTGTCGTTGGCAGTTAAAGAAACTATAGATATGTTCCAACATGGATGTCAGTATTAACACAGCACAAGTGAATCTCACAACGAAAGGTTTGCAAACTTGCAACTTAAGGAATATTACTGGGTTCAGTTCAAGACAATACAATGTTATGTTCCTGTAGCTCAAACAGGAGATGATGGCGCCAGCTACGCCAAGGTCATGGGTTTGATTCCCAGGGAATGTAAAAATGTAGACCTTTTTGGGATTTATGCATTTACAGGGAATGTAAATGCATACATTTAAATATTGTTGATTACCATACACACACACAAAACCCCCCGCCATGAAATACAGTGAGGCACTTAATGGAAGTGAATGGGAAAATTCTCACCGTTTCAATAGTTCAGCCACAAGACATGATGTGTGTGTTCACTGCAAAAACTCTCAGTATTTGTGCTTTTCTCTACTAATATCTAAACATTTACTTGAGAGGTGAAATTACTTAAATGGTCTATAAGTATAATTCAGAAGCCCTTGTTATTAGCGCCCCCGGTGGCCGTTCAGTGAACTGCAGCAGCACTTCATACTCGAACTCGTGAACACGTGACGCTCAAGAGACTGAACGTGATTCAATACTCTGATACACTCACGGCGAAGGTCTTGTTCGTTCTTCGCTTAGAAGTAACAAACATCCCGACGCCGTCCACTGCTGCGAGTGATGGATAGATGAATATGTAAATATGTGCTGCACTTTCCTCTCAATAACAGACTAAACAGAAAACAGCTGTTCAGAAAGCATCTGATCATAATGATGTGTTGATTCACCGGTATCATGTCGACATTAAAATCACATTGTTATGATTATAAATTTGAGAGACAATACAGATCTGGTTCTGTCGGAATAGTTTGAATTAATCTCTTTTCTTTGCATGACACATTGACATTACAATACTGAAGGGATCTTTCGGCATTTTCCTGAACATTGTATAAGCATCCGTTCATTGAACAGAAGAGATGCTCTCGGGAGCGATCCTTTTGATTCTCCCAGCCAAAACATCACATAAAAATCAGTCTACAAGCTAGGAAGCCTTGGAAGGTCTTGTTACATTTACTTCCATTGTAAGCGCCTCACCGTAACCCGGATTTAGAAATGATTTGTTCCGGTAATCAACATTATGCTGGTAATTCTTGTATTGAACCAGGAATATTCATTTGATCACTAAACATTATTTATCCCTACTGGCACAGCTTCATTTTTCTTGTAGCGGGACTTCGCAAGTATAGCATAGTTCGCGTTATAACAATCAGTGGACTGACATACAAGGCAACATAACCTGCTGCAATTTACATTAAATTAGCTTGTAAAGTAAAAGACTATGATAAGCCTCCAAGGTAAAAACAGCTTGATAACTGCTTCCAGCTTTTGCATTCAAGGCTTTTACTCAAAGTGTTTTAATCCCAAAGCCATTTAATTTAAAAAAAAAATTTTTCAGAGCCTTCATTCAAACTAAAACCACTTTTGACTTAATTGGTTAGCTGGAGGAGGACTGACGGGCTGGCGATCTCTCTCATACATCGTTCTCAGTATTGCACCTTCGCTAAAGTGGCACAGACAAAGAGAGAGGCTTGGAAAATAGAAGGATTGTTTCCAGTTGCTGATTTTCCTGATCTAAATTACGGAATTGCAGTTCAATAATCTCACTTTGCATTCCAGCATTGTAACACACTTTAAAACGGTGAAGGAATTAGACTTAATTGGGGGGCAGCGAGTGTGTGTTTTTATGAAAAGCCAGGGATAACGGGGTGTCTGGAAAGAAAACAGACGTGTGTGTGAGGATGACCGTGTGTGTGTGTGTGTGTGTGTGTGTGTGTGCTCGTTCCTCTCGCCGTGAGCTGAATCCAGGTTCACGAGAGCCAAGACAAATACAATAAACAATCACAGCGACACCATTCACATTGCAATGGATCAGCGCTTTCATGGAGATTCCTGCAGATCTGACAGATCATGACCTATAGAAGCAGAAAAGAGAGGGATGAAAACGGTTGAAGGAACATTGAAACATGTATGATATACTTTATTTGAAGGTGCCTTAGATACATTGAACTTGCTTAACTAAGTAGTATTAATTAAAGGAGAACTCCGGCGCAAAATGAACCTTTGGTCTAATAAAACATTGGTACCTAGTCAACCGTTCTCTGAGATTTGTTTTCATGATAATCGAATGTAAAGAGTTTTATATCTAAAAACTGTTTAGCGTATAACGCTAGTAATGGGGGCATATAATAAGTAAAAATAAATCGCTAGTTTATACCACTAACAAGGCTCAAAATAGCCCCACACGAACACAGTAACATAATGAGGGTCCCTACATGCAAAACGAAGCATTGAGAACTTTGTAAGTGTACAGACCGTTTAATAAGAAGATAAAGATAAAGACAGTCCACTTCGTGTATACAGACAGGAGCCATCTTTGGAAAACAGTCTCGACTAATCAAACCACGAACGACGTGCTAAGTGAGCTGAACTGTATGAATGGTGTTCGTGGTTTGATTAGTCGAGACTGTTTTCCAAAGATGGCTCCTGCCATAAACTAGCGATTTCTTTTTACTTATTATATGCCCCCATTACTAGCGTTATACGCTAAACAGTTTTTAGAGATAAAACTCTTTACATTCAATTATCATGAAAACAAATCTCAGAGAACGGTTGACTAGGTACCAATGTTTTATTAGACCAAAGGTTCATTTTGCGCCGGAGTTCTCCTTTAACTACATGTACTTACTATATAGCTACGGGTTAGGGATTGGTTTAGGGTTCGTTACTCGTAATTATGCATACTTTACTGTTATTAATATAGTGAATACACGTAGTAATATGTAACTTAAAATAAAGTGTTACCCAAAATGATACTGCACATTATAGACATATCGATCTGTTAACACACTCCTTCATGATTGATATTTGTCAATGGTGTAGAAAAAGCGATCTGTACTTACTGGGAGATTTTGCAGTTTGTTGTTTTGACAAAGCGGCCCGTGTATTGGATATTGCACCGGACAACATTGTTGGTGAAGTCCGACTCAAGCACCAAGTATTTTGGGTTAACCTGGAGCTAGAGACAGAATTTAGACCTTCAGTGCTGGGAAAAAGTAAGTGCACCCCATGAAATTTATATATGAGGTCATACTATAAGCTTTTACGTAACATTTGAATTTAGTGTCACCGACCCACCGGTGGGCCCAAAGCCATTACATTTTTAAAACAGTAATATCCTATACTAAACCTAAACTAATCTTGACAAACTATATATCATTTGAAAGCTTACAATCTCTTGATTCCATATTTCTCTAGTGACTGATGTTCAAAATAAATTACAGGAGCCGTAATTGCGTAATTGCGACAAGAATATTTTCATACTCCTAAGGCGTGTTCAGACCTTTATTTTGAAATAGCAATGAACATGAAAAATCATGAACGAATGGTAGAAACCTCAGTTTGTTTTTAATGCCAAGAGTTCAAAAGATAACATCCATTCAATTATTTTAGAAAAAATTGTCTGAAAATTACGGAGCCCCCCTAGTCCCACTTTGTCAAAAAAAAATTATTAGAACTATCTCGTGGCCTCAAGATAGTGTCTCGTGGCCTTAAGATAGTATCTCTATCTCGTGGCCTCAAGATAGTATCTCTATCTTGAGGCCACGAGATAGTATCTTGAGGCCACGAGTTACTTATCTTGAGGCCACGAGTTACTTATCTTGAGGCCACGAGTTACTTATCTTGAGGCCACGAGATAGTTATAATACATTTTTTTGACAAAGTGGGACTAGGGGGGCTCCGTAGAAAATGTTTTAAATATAAAGAAAACAATAATAGATTCACCATTTGTGAGGTGGCAGCGAGCTATAACGCACATGCGTGTTCTTTGTATGTGTTTCTTAGAGGTTGAATTCATATCAAAATCTGCCAAACTTCCCTTACTACTTCTGAATAGGATGTCTACTTCATAAATTGTATGAGAATTGTGGAAATAATGGTTCAGATCACTCAAAACACATATGGAAATGGCGGCGCCTGATATGGGCAGTGATGGAGTCTGGCTGTACCCTAGTGGAAGCGTTCGGTACTGCAGACACACACACTCACTGAAAGCTCATTTACTGAGATATCAACCGAAAATGTGTCTTTGGCTTTGATTTTTTTTTTAAATGTGATTTCATTTTAAGCGGCAAAGTTTTTTTATGGTTGATTTTTTAGTTAACGATAACAACCCTAGACAAGGAGTTTTTTATTCCTCCACTTTCTGCAGGGAAATCACGCTTCTCGCTCAATCCTCCATTGCTATAAGCATATCACAGTTGAGCCTCAGAAAAGAAGGCTAAACATCATTGCATTGCTGTTGTTTTCCTGAAGGTCAAACCGCTTGAAGAGACAGTGGAGCATGTCTACATCTGTGTTATTTATGAGCACACAGTGTATCGTACGCATACCGAACTCATCATGATATCATACAGAAGAGTTGGACGATGCCGCTGCGCACATCAAAAGACAAACTTTAAGCGAGACGTGTCATATTCTGTTTGGATGTGTTAGATGTAATATATTCTCTCTTTAAAGGTTATGAAAATGTCTTTGCAAGAGCTCAGTGTGAAACGGGAGACGGAGTGTAAATGTTTGAGAATGTTACCTTGAGTATATAGTTTCCTGGCTGAACATCAGTGATGTCAATCCATTGGCAATCAATATCTGCATTGTATGTGTCGTAGCAGCCTGGACTCAAACCCTGGGGAATTAAACATTTCCTTTAATCAAACAACAAAGTCCCGCTTGATATCAAGTGTCTTTAATTACTATGCACTAACATTTAAATGTAAATATATGTGTAACGGCTCAGAAACAGAAACTGCGCTGTACCGTACCTGTGTGTGTGAAGTACAAGCGAAACGTTTCAGATGACCGAAGTCACAGGTCGTGTCCTCCAGACAGAAACTGGCCTTGTGTCCCTCGGCCACCTTCCGGCCAGAGCTCACCTCCAACAGGTCGTAGTGACTGAACTCATCCATACTGTGGTAATGCCTGAGAGAGAGAGAGAGAGAGAGAGAGAGAGAGAGAGAGAGAGAGAGAGAGAGAGAGAGAGAGAGAGAGAGAGAGAGAGAGAGAGAGAGAGAGAGAGAGAGAGAGAGAGAGAGAGAGAGAGAGAGAGAGAGAGAGAGAGAGAGAGAGAGAGAGAGTACATAGAACATAGACTGTAAAAAGAAATATGGTGTTTCTTCATGTTTTCAAAACTTCAGACACTCTTCGATGTTTCACTTCCCTCATATACATTAAAACAAATAAATAAAAACAATTTATATTTGAATTACACTTTACTTGAAGGTGTCCTTTTTACAGAATAACTATACATTAAAGTACTGAGTCATTTTAACTAATGCACTAGGGTTAGGTTTAGTTGTATAGTATGCATAATAAACTGTTATTATACAGCAAGTACATGTAACATGTAACAAGTGACACTGCAAAATAAAGTGTTTCCCAATACTCTATAGGATTTACACTTAATTACTTCTTTCTTCATGGTAAAGTCTTTGAGAAGGCATTAATAATTGAGCCGGAGCTTCCCGACTGAAGGAACCGGACTGTACATGTCACGCCGCTGGTTCTCTTCTTGGAAAGCTGTGGTAATACCTGAGGACTGCGGCAGGGAAAACACAGGTACTTTCCTCTGACACGGACAGAGTTCATATTTTCCACAGGGATACGATATTTCCCATAAACCATGTATGTTACTGCCAAGCATATTAAATCTTATTTGATGAGGGGATGACAGACATTTCAGGAGCCTGTAGCCAAAATCCCTGAGCAAACTACATATGAATCACAGACACACACAGACACACACGTACCAGACACACGCACACGCAGACACACACGCACACCTACATACCAGACACATGCATACGCAACCACACACACACGCACACACACACACACACGCAAGCACACACACACACACACACACACACACCTACGGACACACACACACACACACACACACACACACACGCATGTGCTCCCGCACCCTCACACACCCACACACGCACGCAAGCGCGTGCACACACACACACACACACACACACACCCTCACACACGCATACACAAGCACACACACCTACGGACACACACACACACACACCCTCACACCCAGGCATACGCAAGCACACACACACACACACACACACACACACACACACACACACACACGGACACGGACACACACACACACACACGTTGGGTTTCCATGTTTTATGGGGACTTTCCATATACATTATATTTGTACAAGCTGTATATTCCCCACACTAACCCTAAACCATCACACAAACCTTTCTGTATTTTTACATTTTCAAAAAATTCATAAATATTTGGGTAACAATTTATTCACTTTATATATTATACTAACTAACTATAACTAACTCTCAGAGTAATAGTAGTTTTTCTGATTATTATCGGCTGCCACTTTATTCTGATGCTCGTCAATAGATATTCTACTTACTATAATAACTTTGCAACTACATGTCAGCTACTAACCTGAACCCTAACAGTCTACTGACACTCTAATGAGAGCTAGTTGACAATGTGATGTTGTCTTTTTATTTACTGATTTATGAAACCACAATAATAAATACATATACTACAAAATATTGACATATTTCACCGTTTTAAAAGAAATAACTGTGATTCAAATTCAAGTGGTAATTAATCAACATTTTGTCAGAAGTGTTCATCCTGTTTGTGACAGTTTTTCGCAGAATGGAAACAATGTGGAGACAAACGGATCAGGATGCGAAATGACAAGCCGGGTTCTGGTTATATATAGTAAATATATGTTTTTCTTCACGGTTTGTGTTGTATCATGGGGTCATCAAAGTCGAGGTCCTCCACCTCATTAAAAAATCCTCAACTCTTAGATCACAGATGAAGGGTCGAAGTCAGTCCCACCCTGACTCAATCAAATACTGGATATATATATATATACACTACAGTCAAGTCTGACGGTCTACACTTCGCCTGGCTGTCGTCTTTGTGCATGTGAGTAATAAAAGCACTGGAAAACTCCATATAAACCTGATATGCAGTTTTCGTTTCGGCTATTAATACATAAACACTGTTAATCTCCACACAATATCAAACATGTCAAAGCAGAGAAGTGCAAGCTATTATAGATTACCTTCTGCTCTCTGCAGTTCTTCTGAATGATATTTTTTTTGTCAAAGAGAGTCAGGTGATTGTACACATGATATCAAATTGAGGTTGCATGAAAGACGTCATCACACATCAGCTTAGCTGTCTAATTGCATTAGAAATGAGTTAAAGTGCTGAATGCTTCATGTGCTGACATTTTCAGGTTACATTAATAATCTGTTTATGAGCAAAACTGACTGCTAGCACTCTGATCCCAAGCCAAAAGGGAATGTTGATAGTAATGTACAACCGAAGTCAAGTTTATGTCAGTGCAATAGCAAAACAAAATACTTCCATATTCATCTCCGCTAATTATCTGACATTCAAACACAGGATTTTTTCAGTCGACCAACTAAACTTTCATCGTCACTAATGTTTTTATTTAATGCAGAATTAAACCGTGCTATATTTCACTTCCAAAGTAAGGCTGTCAATCGATTAAAAATGTAATTGTATTAATTGCATGATATGCTAATTAACATTATTTAAAAATGTATAAAATTTAATCTCAATTAATGACATGCATCAATATTTGCTGTGAAAATTAATATAAAGATAATTTGAATTGTCTGCTTTTTAGAAAGATTTTTCTCTCTCTCTTGTTCTGCATTTATTTGATCAAAGATGCAGTAATATTGTGAAATATTATTACAATTTCAAATAACGGTTTTCTATGTGAATATATTGTAAGATGTAATATATTCCTGTGATCAAAGCTGAATTTTCAGCATCATTACTCCAGTCTTCAGTGTCACATGATTTCTCTATCATTGGGCAGCTGATATGAGTGACAGCTGTCACTCACAGATGATGTGATGTGGGCGTGTCCAGCGATGCAGCAAAGCTGAGCATCCGAGTTTAACTTGAAGCGAAAGAACAACTCTTGCCAATTCACCGTCTCGCTTGCAAATGTAGACACGCTGTAATGAACAGCTACAGGCGAACAAACACAGTACTGACGAGTACTGACAGACATTAATTTTCACTTGTCACGAGGCCCAGCTGATTGTACATGGCAATGATATGGAAATCCCCTCTGAGGATAACAGCCCTTCGCCAAGTGAAACAAAATACATAAATCGATGCCAAAATTCATTCAGATTCTGATGTAAGATAAGGAATTTAAACTCACTTCCACAATCTGGGACTATTATAATTCCATCATTCTGGGACTTTTAATCATATTAGGGCTGGAATTGTATTGATTTGTAGCTACAGGCTTGTAAAAAGGTACGTGTGTGTACAATGCTGATCTTTCCTATACTTGTCTGATGCAACAATGGAGCTTTAATGGTGAATTAAAGGATTAGTTCACTTCAGAATTAAATTTTCCTGATAATTTACTCAACCCAACGTCATCGAAGATATTCATATCTTTCTTTCTTCAGTCGAAAAGAAATTAAGATTTTTGAGGAAAACAACGGGTAAAAGGTCCAGATGTGAGTTTCAGTGCAGCTTCAAAGTCTCGACACGATCCAGCCAAGGAATAAGAGTCTGATCTAGACAAATGATCGGCCATTTATAATTTTTTTATTTTTTTTTTTATATATATTGACATTTGGACCTTCGACCCGTTGGACCCCATTGGAGTCACTATATGGAGAAAAATCCTGGAATGCTTTCCACAAAAACTTTAATTTCTTTTCGACTGAAGAAAGAAAGACATGAATATCTTGAAAGACGTGGGGGAGAGTAAATTCATAATTAATAAGGAAATTTTAATTCTGATGTGAACTACTCCTTTATGAATCGTGGCTTTGTGGTTAGTGCGAGTGAACTGCATTGCTCACTCACTACATTAATCCGAATACATTTTAAAACTGTGTTTTCGTTTCAAAACACTCTCTATCCACACTAGCATCTGCAAGCGTTTTCCAAACGTTTCTCATCCACACCGAAACATGTGAAAACGGCATGTATTCATGATCTTTTGTTGGGTCTCCACATGTACAGATATACAGGTATAGAGGGAGAGACTGTTGGATCTGAACTTACTGGTGACAGCTGTGCCACTCCCAGGTGTGGCGAGGTCTGTTGGGCATGAAATCAGCCGTCCCTTGGTTCTTCACTCTCTGAGGGAAGCGCAGAAGAACCCTGACGCTATAGTCTGTGGCGTCAGCACTGTAAGCAGAGCTGAGGAGGGAACACATTAATGAGCTTCTGCAGCACTGAGTAATGAAAGCTTGTATATACGAGAGCAGGCTGGGATTTATATGATGTGACACCACCCATATTTCTGCATGAAGAACTCCACAAATGTGATCTCACATCCTTCTCATTGGTTATTACTGGCTGGTGTGGTGTAAACAGTTGTAAAGGAGTTTGGGAGGGGTTATTGTGTAAACACATCCTGCCCAGATTTGAATGGCCATTTCATAAATAGAAGTATAAAGAGTCGAGAGTTGAGAGTCCTCACCTGGCCAGACACTTCTCCTCCGCCGCACAGCGTAAGGAGTACATATGGGCTCTCTGAACGTACGTGGAGGCTTGGACGTAGTTGGGGTCAGGAACCAGGTCAGGCAAACCTAAAAACAGGACACATCATAAGAGAAGAAACAGATGCTGAAGCACACATACTGATATTACACTGAAGGAAAATATATAACCGAACCGACCCAGTCTGACCACCCGAAAAATGTCCAAATCCCTCTAAAACTACCAAACCGACCAAGTCTGACCACCCGGAAAATGTCCAAATCAATCTAAAAATACCAAACCGACCAAGTCTGACCACCCGAAAAATGTCCAAATCACTCTAAAACTACCAAACCGACCCAGTCTGACCACCCGGAAAATTTCCAAATCACTCTAAAACTACCAAACCGACCAAGTCTGACCACCCGAAAAATGTCCAAATCACTCTAAAAATACCAAACCGACCAAGTCTGACCACCCGGAAAATGTCCAAATCACTCTAAAACTACCAAACCGACCAAGTCTGACCACCCGAAAAATGTCCAAATCACTCTAAAACTACCAAACCGACCAAGTCTGACCATCCGAAAAATGTCCAAATCACTCTAAAACTACCAAACCGACCAAGTCTGACCACCCGAAAAATGTCCAAATCACTCTAAAACTACCAAACCGACCCAGACTGACCACCCGAAAAATGTCCAAATCACTCTAAAAATACCAACCGACCAAGTCTGACCACCCGAAAAATGTCCAAATCACTCTATAACTACCAAACCGACCAAGTCTGACCACCCGAAAAATGTCCAAATCACTCTAAAACTACCAAACCGACCAAGTCTGACCACCCGTAAAATGTCCAAATCTCTCTAAAAATACCAAACCGACCCAGTCTGACCACCCGAAAAATGTCCAAATCACTCTAAAAATACCAAACCGACCCAGTCTGACCACCCGAAAAATGTCCAAATCACTCTAAAACTACCAAACCGACCCAGTCTGACCACCCGAAAAATGTCCAAATCACTCTAAAACTACCAAACCGACCAAGTCTGACCACCCGAAAAATTTCCAAATCACTCTAAAACTACCAAACCGACCAAGTCTGACCACCCGAAAAATGTCCAAATCACTCTAAAAATACCAAACCGACCCAGTCTGACCACCCGAAAAATGTCCAAATCACTCTAAAACTACCAAACCGACCAAGTCTGACCACCTGAAAAATGTCCAAATCTCTATAAAACTACCAAACCGACCAAGTCTGACCACCCGTAAAATGTCCAAATCACTCTAAAAATACCAAACCGACCCAGTCTGACCACCCGAAAAATGTCCAAATCACTCTAAAACTACCAAACCGACTAAGTCTGACCACCCGAAAAATGTCCAAATCACTTTAAAACTACCAAACCGACCCAGTCTGACCACCCGAAAAATGTCCAAATCACTCTAAAAATACCAAACCGACCAAGTCTGACCACCCGAAAAATGTCCAAATCACTCTAAAACTACCAAACCGACCAAGTCTGACCACCCGAAAAATGTCCAAATCACTCTAAAAATACCAAACCGACCAAGTCTGACCACCCGAAAAATGTCCAAATCACTCTAAAACTACCAAACCGACCAAGTCTGACCACCCGGAAAATGTCCAAATCACTCTAAAACTACCAAACCGACCCAGTCTGACCACCCGAAAAATGTCCAAATCACTCTAAAACTACCAAACCGACTAAGTCTGACCACCCGAAAAATGTCCAAATCACTTTAAAACTACCAAACCGACCCAGTCTGACCACCCGGAAAATGTCCAAATCACTCTAAAACTACCAAACCGACCCAGTCTGACCACCCGAAAAATGTCCAAATCACTCTAAAACTACCAAACCGACTAAGTCTGACCACCCGAAAAATGTCCAAATCACTTTAAAACTACCAAACCGACCCAGTCTGACCACCCGGAAAATGTCCAAATCACTCTAAAACTACCAAACCGACCAAGTCTGACCACCCGAAAAATGTCCAAATCACTCTAAAACTACCAAACCGACCAAGTCTGACCACCCGAAAAATGTCCAAATCACTCTAAAAATACCAAACCGACCAAGTCTGACCACCTGAAAAATGTCCAAATCTCTATAAAACTACCAAACCGACCAAGTCTGACCACCCGTAAAATGTCCAAATCACTCTAAAAATACCAAACCGACCCAGTCTGACCACCCGAAAAATGTCCAAATCACTCTAAAACTACCAAACCGACTAAGTCTGACCACCCGAAAAATGTCCAAATCACTTTAAAACTACCAAACCGACCCAGTCTGACCACCCGAAAAATGTCCAAATCACTCTAAAAATACCAAACCGACCAAGTCTGACCACCCGAAAAATGTCCAAATCACTCTAAAACTACCAAACCGACCAAGTCTGACCACCCGAAAAATGTCCAAATCACTCTAAAAATACCAAACCGACCAAGTCTGACCACCCGAAAAATGTCCAAATCACTCTAAAACTACCAAACCGACCAAGTCTGACCACCCGGAAAATGTCCAAATCACTCTAAAAATACCAAACCGACCAAGTCTGACCACCCGAAAAATGTCCAAATCACTCTAAAACTACCAAACCGACCCAGTCTGACCACCCGGAAAATTTCCAAATCACTCTAAAACTACCAAACCGACCAAGTCTGACCACCCGAAAAATGTCCAAATCACTCTAAAAATACCAAACCGACCAAGTCTGACCACCCGGAAAATGTCCAAATCACTCTAAAACTACCAAACCGACCAAGTCTGACCATCCGAAAAATGTCCAAATCACTCTAAAACTACCAAACCGACCAAGTCTGACCACCCGAAAAATGCCCAAATCACTCTAAAACTACCAAACCGACCCAGACTGACCACCCGAAAAATGTCCAAATCACTCTAAAAATACCAACCGACCAAGTCTGACCACCCGAAAAATGTCCAAATCACTCTATAACTACCAAACCGACCAAGTCTGACCACCCGAAAAATGTCCAAATCACTCTAAAACTACCAAACCGACCAAGTCTGACCACCCGTAAAATGTCCAAATCTCTCTAAAAATACCAGACCGACCCAGTCTGACCACCCGAAAAATGTCCAAATCACTCTAAAACTACCAAACTGACCCAGTCTGACCACCCGAAAAATGTCCAAATCACTCTAAAACTACCAAACCGACCCAGTCTGACCACCCGAAAAATGTACAAATCACTCTAAAACTACCAAACCGACCAAGTCTGACCACCCGAAAAATGTCCAAATCACTCTAAAACTACCAAACCGACCTAGTCTGACCACCCGAAAAATGTCCAAATCACTCTAAAAATACCAAACCGACCCAGTCTGACCACCCGAAAAATGTCCAAATCACTCTAAAACTACCAAACCGACCAAGTCTGACCACCTGAAAAATGTCCAAATCTCTATAAAACTACCAAACCGACCAAGTCTGACCACCCGTAAAATGTCCAAATCACTCTAAAAATACCAAACCGACCCAGTCTGACCACCCGAAAAATGTCCAAATCACTCTAAAACTACCAAACCGACTAAGTCTGACCACCCGAAAAATGTCCAAATCACTCTAAAACTACCAAACCGACCCAGTCTGACCACCCGAAAAATGTCCAAATCACTCTAAAAATACCAAACGACCAAGTCTGACCACCCGAAAAATGTCCAAATCACTCTAAAACTACCAAACCGACCAAGTCTGACCACCCGAAAAATGTCCAAATCACTCTAAAAATACCAAACCGACCAAGTCTGACCACCCGAAAAATGTCCAAATCACTCTAAAACTACCAAACCGACCAAGTCTGACCACCTGAAAAATGTCCAAATCTCTATAAAACTACCAAACCGACCAAGTCTGACCACCCGTAAAATGTCCAAATCACTCTAAAAATACCAAACCGACCCAGTCTGACCACCCGAAAAATGTCCAAATCACTCTAAAACTACCAAACCGACCCAGCCTGACCACCAGAAAACAGACCAACCTGTCCTAGTGAAAAATAAATATACCAACATGTTTTTGAAATACATTTATTTTTTGCTAAGTGTACTACAAATACATTCACATATTTATGTACTTAATAATACCCTGCATTTGTACTGTTGGTATACTAAATTGGTATACTTAAAGGTTGCTAAATTGGAACAACTAATTTTGTACTTAATGCACTTTAGTTATCTGGAGATAGTGCTGAGGTCTAACTAAAGATATTCTTAATTATATTTGATTGTGCTAAAGTTGAACTAAGTATACTTAAGGTACACTTTAAATATGTTGCATTTAAAGACTGATATTACACAGATGTCATACTATCCTTACTAATAGAGATATTAAAACACATTTTAGGCTTAATATTAAGAAATGTGCATGGTGCAATAAAGAAGTTCTCCAAATAAACCTTAATAATAACATTTATATCAGTCTCAAGCGATATGTCAGTGTATATGTTAATGGATTTTTAGTATACTTATTATGAAATAAATGTATTTTATATACATTTTGGTATATGTTGTTTCACTAGGGTGGCCACCTAAAAAGTATCCAAAACCAGTTTAAAACCACCATCTAACCAGGGGTGTGTTTCCCGAAAGAACGACAGAACATAGTTGGCTTCGGGAAACACACCCCAGTAAAAGTGCTCAAAACCACTCTCAAACCACCAAACTGACTATTCTGACAACATGAAGTGTCCCAAAACCACTATAAAACCACCAAACCGACATATATGAACACATAAAAAGGCCTCAAAACCACTCTAAAACCACAGTACCGACAATTCTGACCAATTGATGTGTCACAAAACCACCAAACCGGCCAGTGTGACCACCTGACATGTGTCCAAACCCCTTTACAACAAGCAAACGGACCTGCTTAGCCAACCGGAAAGAGCATGAAACCCTTCTGAAACCAGCTTTGGAGATCATCTTTGAAACCAGCAGTTTTCCCCCCGGCAATGTCAGGATTCATAACACACGGTCCTGGGGACAAATGTGCTGCTTTAATGTTCTGAGCTGTTCTGATGTTACATACCTTTAAATGTAAAAGAAAGTAAAATATTTGAAAAATGGCAGTATCCAAATAAGCATACCTTTGAAAAATACACAAGAGATGAAGAGGTTTTTGATGAGGTAATGCTGAAGCCTCACAGTATAATGCATCAAACACTATTTCTCATCTGGTTTCAAGGTCACGCACAAATAAGAAAAAAAGAACAAAGTGTTGCACGTAGAGGAAGAGAGAGAGATAGAGTACAAAAGATGAGGGAGCGGTGACAGCCAAACGAAAATGAGATCACTTCCCTGCTGGATCCAAATTGGGCCTGTGACCAAATCTGTTTAAAAAAAAACCCCCCAGAAAAATCGAAAAACAGAGCTAGCTGTGACAGCTAATGTCTTAAGACTCTCAGCCAAGCGGTACAGGCCCAGTACAGAAACTAATTATCACCTTTATTTACACTTAAAACGCAAGCTGGCTGTGTTCACCTCATGTCGAAAGAATCTTATGAATATATTAACAGTGCAGTCTAAGTCCTTACGTGGACATTAACATTTCTTCAAAAGGAAGGTGACAGCATATCTGCTTTCCTGCTTTTGCATGTCATGGATTTCAGAGAAAAGAACCCCGTTGAGAACAGCAACACTGATGGACTCAAGCATATGATACTATCAGGCTCCTTAATCACCTTCTTAGATGTTCATTTAGCTGCAGAACCAGCATTTTTTGCCAGTGGTCCATCAGATTTCTTCAAAGAAAGGTTGAGTGCAGATCAAAATCTCACTTCTGCTGCAGGCATATTTAGAGCAACTTTCACTTATATATAAAACATGATGGCATTGGTCAGTCTCCTTATTTCAGGCATATTAGCGCCGCCCTTCTACTCCAGTGAATGCTTTGCCATCTCCATCTCTGTGTACACATCCGATTTGCCAGCTTGGTCTGAGACAGACTTAAAGGCCTCAGGAAACGTTCTTGGTCAGCTCTTGTAAACAGTGTTAAGTGAGTGTGAAAGACTGTGGTTCACCAGCAAAAGGATTTTACACACAGTCTGCACTTTTCACCACAAAGCTCTGTTCTCTGGATGCCTGCACTACACCAACATTCATTATAAACAGCAAGCTACAATGCACACAATGCTACGGTTTTTGCGCAAAATGTTCTAAATGAGATGAGGGAGAAAGACCCAAACCTTCTTACAAAATCGTCCTTCATATTTAACCCCCCACCAAATTAGAAACATAAAGTGTCTTCCCTGATGAAGGAAGACTAGGCTTGTAAGTAAAATTATTGAATGACTTCTAGTCAGATACAGGCCAGATTAAAATATCCAAAAGAGTTCTTAAAGGAGTAGTTCACTTTTGAAAAAACTTTTGCTGATAATTTACTCACCCCCATGTCATCCAAGAAGCCTATGTCTTTCTTTCCTCAGTCGACAAGAAATTACGTTTTTTGATGAAAACATTCCAGGATTTTTCTCCATATAATGGACTTAAATGGGAACCATACGGTCCAAGGTCCAAAATACAGTTATTAACAGTTTCAGATGCAGCTTAAAATGTCTTTAAACGACACCAGACGATGAATAAGGGTCTTATCATGCGAAACGATCGCTCATTTAAAAAATAAATAACAACGTTTAAGTTTTATAAGCTCACATGCTCGCCTTTCTCTGTTCTGTGTGACTCTCCTGTTCGAACTCGTTCATCAAAATGAACAAATCTTTTTTCGAGTCATTTGATTCATTTAACGACCGAAATGACCAAATTAGAGACATAAAGTGTCTTCCCTGATGAAGGAAGACTAGGCTTGTAAATAAAATTATTGAATGACTTCTAGTCAGATACAGGCCAGATCTAAATATCCAAAAGAGTTCTTAAGACTCTCAGCCAAGCGGTACAGGCCCAGTACTGAAACTACTTATCACCTTTATTTACACTTAAAACGCAAGCTGGCTGTGTTCACCTCATGTCGAAAGAATCTTATGAATATATTAACAGTGCAGTCTAAGTCCTTACGTGGACATTAACATTTCTTCAAAGGGAAGGTGACATCATATCTGCTTTCCTGCTTTTGCATGTCATGGATTTCAGTGAAAAGAACCCCGTTGAGAATATCCAAAAGAGGTTTTATGCTGCAATCATGTAAATGTGTCCCAACTGATGTTATTTCAATTTTCCAAATTCACAGATAGTGTATGTTTCTACAGGCTGGAGCTCTGACTGATTTCACCTTATTTGTTTGCGATTGCATCATTCAAGTAATGCGTATTTTCTTTTCCACATGTGTACCTTCCAGTTTATTTAGTTTACACCCATTTCCCTTATGACCAGATTTTGTAAACTGAGGTGGTCAGTCGTGCGTGAAGTGACTCAAGCAAGAGACAAAGACCATTTCACATAACAAAATGAGCCTGCACACTTGGCAGTGGCCAGCAATGTCCCAGAGGCCTTACACACGCCCACCTCCTCACACACATATATGCACACGCACACTTTTATTTAGGGGCTAGCAAAACAATTTCTGTTTGCTGAGGCAATGGACCCCATGTGTGCTGGGTACTTTCCATCTCCCCACTCCAAAAACGTATATACTAACAGCCCAGAATCCGCCTCACACTCACCCCACAACAACCAAGCCACTTTACCCCTTACCCCACCCTCTAAAGCAAATACTGGGATCATTCACCCTTAGCCCTCGCAGTGCAGTCATCACCACAACTAGAACCAAGTCTTCAAACAATGAGCACTCTTTGTGCAGAATGTGTATCCATAGGCACTACACACACACACACCAACTACCACATACTCATACACCCACGCACACATCCCACAACACCTGGTTCCAATAACCCAGGCTCTGAGACAAAGATGAACTTGGAACATCAATGGCAATGGGGGGGATGGAAATGAATGATGCTGGGGTGATGTTAGGATGGAGTAACTTTCACAGACTGCTCATGAGGAAACAAACAAAACAATCTGCTTATAAGTAATGCCCATTACCAGCTGCGTAAGCAAACAACTTTCCAATCAACTTTGTGCAGTTTGAGTCCCTTGGGTTACACGTTTGTCAAATATGCAAAGGGCTTGCGGCTGCCAGGAAACACAAAGAGATGGCAGAAGAACTACATTTTTTAGATGTCTTTCTGTTTCTCTCACTTCCTTTCCTTCAGAGAGAGAGAGAGAGAGCAAATCTGAAACGAGCTCCTCACGTGCATCCATTTCCCCAAATCTCCCACCGTGCAAGAGCTTAAGTACCAACTGTAGTTCCTCTGTGATTAACTTTACGTAGCATAGCAGCCTAGTAAATGAGCTGCAGCCTTGTTTGAGACGTGAAACATTACGTACAGTGGCATTCATTGCAATAGACACTTGGGCCTTAGGTCATAAGATGCAAAAGCAACCTTTCTGGAGAGCTGGTAAACTATTGAGTAACATTGGATGGAGATGGAACTGGATACATATTCTGAATGTTCCGATCCAATCTGACTTCTGACCTGTAATGCTGCCTGAATCATAATCATATACTGTTTGTTCGTTGGCCAGAGGAGACCTTGTCCCCCGACTGAGCCTGGCTTCTCCCAAGGTTTTTTTTTTTTTTTTTTCATTCTGTCACCTGAGTTTTGGTTCCTTGCCACTGTCGCCTTTGGCTTTTGGCTTGCTTAGTTGGGAACACTTAATATTCAACAATATTACTGCTCTTCCTGCATTGACACCATTATATGAGAACGGAACTGAGCTAGACGATGATATCACTGTTTTCCCCAGACCGGCTGTACAGATAAATTAACTAAATTAATGACAACAAAAATGAATCATCATTGAACTTACTTAAGCTGGACTATGACACTATTTTCTTCTAGATCTGCTGTACAGCCAAAACAAACTTTGTTGCATTATTTTCCTGTTGGCACTGTAAAGCTGCTTTGAAACAATCTGTTTTTTGAAAAATAAGTATAAATAAAGTTGACTTAACTTGACATTAGTTTGGGATGTGCAAAGAGACTGGATATTCTGGATACATCATACCTCTTTGCTGAGGACGATAAACACTCCCTGCATTCATGTTGGGGTTCTCTGCATTGTTAGAGACGAGAGGGTTGCGAGGAGCTGGTTGTATAAACGGAGGCTGTGGCCTTCCAAAGGGTGGAAATTGTTCATATTGGGGGCTTTGCACTGCAGGCTGGAACGATGAGCCTGTGTTGCTCGAAGCACCATTAGAGGCAGGTACTGCAGGATTACCGCTATCTCGAGAGTCCTCGTTGAACAGGCTGTGCGTGTATCTGTGGTCCAACCCATCAGAGATTTGTGGCTGCGCGGGTTGGGCAGGAGCAACAGGGGCAGCAGGGTAGGTTTGACCGTAAGGGGAATAGTAACGATACCTCTCATCGGTTGTAGGACCCCCTCCATTATAGCTACCTCCTCCAAAACTGCCGGCAGAGTAACCACCCCCTCCGTATCCGCCACTAGTGCCCGAAGAGTATCCCGTTCCACGGAAGGGAGGTTCATATGATCTGTCCGAAACCGAGTCATGAGGAGCAGCATAAGGTGGCTGTTGAGGGAACGGATACTGTGGATAAAAAGAAGAGGATGATGATGATGAGGAGGAGGAGGATGAGCCTGAGGATGGTCTAAAACGAGAGCCGGTAGATGACTGGAAGCGACTTGTTTCACCTGTCCCAGTTGCACCCTGACGCCAGTTGTCGGGCACTTGGCCGAATCCAAACGGGTGTCTGGCTTGACCTCTCACAGTCTCCGAGGTTCCTCTTGAAGGTGCTTGTCTCCGTACATTCCCACCCTGTGATCTACGGTTGGGAGCATCCGCTAGTAGCACTCGATGGTTCCTGTCACGCTCCTGAGCCCGAGCCGGCACGTATTCAGCCCCACTGTTGAGAAGACTGTACACACGTCCATTATTCTCCCATCGAATCATCTGTCTCCAGGGGTTTGAGTCCTCAGTCTGATGCTGAGATTGAGACTGTCCCCCTACGGTTCCAAGCAACACAACGACCCACCATGTCATGAAAACAACAGGCAGCATATTGACAAGACTTGCATGGAAATGGAAAACAACTTCCAAGACCTTCAAGAAACTTCAGAAAAGAGTGGACAATGAAACTCCGAATTGAATCCTTTGATCCAGCAGGTTAAAGATGGTAAGGCATAGAGGACTTATAGTGTCCATGAGCAAATCAGACTACATGCAGGGAATAAACTTTGTCCTTGGCTCAGTATGTGGTGCAGGCATAGCTGTGAGGAAGGCAGATGATTTCTGATGCCCCAGGGTAGGGTGAAGAATGAGAAACCTCCCTCTTCCTTACTGTCCAGATGTTGAGTTGTTGTCAGTGGACTGAGCATTGCTCTCAGGCTCTCACTGGAGACAACTGCCTGTTGCTCTCCTCTGCACTTCACTATTTGCCTCTCTGAATGCTTACAATAGTCTGTGAAAAAAGAAAAAAAAATCTGATCTCCCCCTCCCTCTCTCTCTCGTTCCCTCTCCCTCGCTCACTCAATCTAACATGTTCTTTTTTCTTTTCTTGAAGTGAGATCCCACATGGCCCTAGTGCTAGAGCTGTTTCCTAAACCACAGCAAAGCCAGGTCTTTGCACAGGCTTCCAGAGTCAACATCACCATCTGTGAAGGCACTTGAATATCTAGTGTGCCTGTGTTGACTTGCTTTGATCCCTCTGAACAAGCAGGGATGTCTGGTGCGTGGCCTAGGTTCACCCACCCAGGTGCGAGAGAGCTCTGCCCTTGTCTCATGTTTTTCCAAACACAATTTTTTAACACTCATCATCATCACAGCACATGAGAGGACATTAATTCCGGCAGGATGTTTAGAAATCCAAGTTATGTACTTGAGAGGAGGCCAAAGAAAGTCAGCAGAATTTGGAACAAGCAGTTCCATTTAAAAGAAAAATACCTTCCAGTAAACAAAGATAGATGATAGCGGGCAAATATGCATCACTTACATTGCAAAACCTAACATAATTCTACAAGCTTTATTTGAATATGCAGAGGGAGCCCAGACTCAGTAAACATAGTTTTTGTTTTGTACAGATATTAGCGTATTTAAAATAAACTATATAGAGTGAAAACCAATCCCAAGTGCATGATACAGTATTATTTTAATCTAGCCCTGCTTTTTAACATTTGTAGAAGAAGACACAATACATCTGAATACACAAACCAAATGTATATTCCTAATCTTCATGGCTATCACTGTTTTAATATTCCAGATACGTTTCTCACAAAATGCTACATTGCCATTTTTGTAATATTGTAATGGACATCTTTAGAGCAAACACATTCTCCTAAACATTCTGGGAAGACTGATTCGTATAGTGACTGTTGTTGAACTACTTTGAAACTATTGTTTGTCAAACTACAAGCTATCACAATTTAAAAGAACATGTGCAAAACCTTTGCTTCGGCATGTGGTTTGGCATCTCCAACTCTCAAAAGACTTGATATGATGCATTTAGCCTCACAAATCACTGGCTGTGATCTCACCTCCATCTTTGACATCTAAGTGTCTCGCATTCGACGCAAAGGTCTGAAAATACTCGGAGACTCTTAAAACCCTGCCGACTGCCTCTTATCACCCCTCCCCACAGGCAAGAGCCTCAAGGTGATTAAAATGAAAACCGCTCATTTTCACAGCCATGCTTACTGTTGAACTACTTAATTCCCCTCCAAATACACCTCAGCACATTGTGTTGATTGCTAAAGCACCATAATATTTCATTTGCAACAGTCATTTACTTTATTTATACAGTGATCTGTCCAATGAGCCCATTGTCTTTTAGACCAGAATGTGTACTCATTATGTGTGATTTATTAAAGTGATATTCAGCCAAATTTTGTCATCATTTTCTCACCCCCTTATGCTGTTCCAAACCTGCGTAACTTTCTTCTGCTGAACAAAAGGGGGATATTTTCCATAATACCGGCTCACTCTTTATGAGCGTTGATGTGAAAATGCACTACCCAAACTTAAACGGTTGTAATTCATGAAGCCTTTGTACTAAAGACTTACAGTTGGTCTCTTTTAAAAGAAGACTCTTGGCAGATTATTGCTGAAGTGGAATAAATTAATAGAATTAAATTATTTAAAAGTTATTGAAGTTTAAGTTAACTGTTATGAAAATACAATAAAATATATATTTTTCTTTTATTAAAAATATATATAAATTAATATAGGTTTCAGCCTAAAAATGACAGAAAGTCAAAGCCATATATCTAACCAAGTTGTGTTCCAAATTTGAAGTTGATATCACAAACATTGAAGTTCCCATGAGATTTTGTTTAGGCGTAATACCCAAAATACCCACCGGGTGCCATTGCATTCCATTGAATTTAATTGTATGCATTCTGCCATAACAAATTAATAAATTTCTATCCAAATATCACTTATGTCACAAAATATGGAACCTTGAGACTCTTTCTGACAAAACGTGTTTTGTCAAGATTAGAACATTTTTGATAATAAATTATGAAAGATGATGCCCAAAAGGGGAGGGGCCTAATAAAAAATACCGTTTCTATGGTAACGCAACGTACAATTTCAAAACGGTTTTCACAGGATTAATTCTGAGTTCGTAAGCTTTCAAATGATACCTAATTTATGATAACTACTAATATATGTGATATAATAATAATAAAAAATTATATATATATGATGTGTACTAACTTTAACATCGATCAACCTGCTCTCATACTGCGTCAAAATAAAGGATTTCAGTAGGTTTAGCATCATATCTTTTACGCTGATAATCAAACTTTGGTAAACGGTCGTTCTCTTAAAAAAAGACGACTTAAAAAGATATTTAATAAGACATAAGAATCTTTCAACACGACAATAAAGGAGACAAAGACAACAAATCACTCAGTACTATCTTGATAATTATACTCAAAATGATGATTGATTGTTGATTGATTCCAACTTCTTCAATAATATCTGGAGAAAAATAAAAAATCTACACAGATAGCATTCACAGTTATCTCAATTTGAAATTCGCCATCTGTGCTCATCAGTTCTAGGCACAGTTGTTTTTAAGCTATAAAAAAGTGCATTTGATCACTTTAGTCATTACATTTATTCAGAATAATATTTTAAGGGAGGCTCAGCATCCCAGGCCCCTGCTGATGGACGGCCGCTGTTGTCAAGCCAGAAAAACAAGATCAGAGAGCTAAAAGCGAATGACTTTGTCTTTCCCCTAGTCATATATCTTTGATTAGATTATACTTGATATGTGCTATACACACACCAAAAGTCTATTGTGTTATTGCTTGCGGTGTCCTACACTTTTACAGCAGATGATTTAAAAAGCCATGTTCTTTTCCAAATATGGGGAGGCAGAGGATTAGATTACAGCACGACATCGGAATGAATTTTGGGACAGTGAGTTCAAATTGTTCCCAATATCAGATTTCGCCGTCCGTTGTTATCAAAATCAACAGTTGCCAAGCTGTTTGCATTGGCCCGGCGCGGAGCGGGTAACGTCCAGAATGTACCAGAGATCAAGGCATGACAACATTCCTCACAGGATTATGTTTAAACTAACGAGCAAGCGCTTTGAGCCGGCTCGTGGAAACTGAACCTAACAAAACACGTAGACGGGATAACTGACCGGTTTAACGGCACATGCATGGCAACGTGCTTCAAAGTGAAGAGTTATATTGATGTTCTTGGGATGAAAGAAGAAGAGAAAGGTGAAGGGCGGCTGTGGTGATTAAACTAGCCGCACTAATCCATCATTATGTACACTCACCGGCCACTTTATTAGGTACACCTGTCCAACTGCTCGTTAACACTTAATTTCTAAGCAGCCAATCACATGGCGGCAACTCAGTGCATTTAGGCATGTAGACATGGTCAAGACAATCTCCTGCAGTTCAAACCGAGCATCAGTATGGGGAAGAAAGTTGATTTGAGTGACTTTGAACGTGGCATGATTGTTGGTGCCAGAAGGGCTGGTCTGAGTATTTCAGAAACTGCTAATCTACTGGGATTTTCACGCACAACCATCTCTAGGGTTTACAGAGAATGGTCCGAAAAAGAAAAAACATCCAGTGAGCGGCAGTTCTGTGGGCGGAAATGCCTTGTTGATGCCAGAGGTCAGAGGAGAATGGCCAGACTGGTTCGAGCTGATAGAAGGGCAACAGTGACTGAAATAACCACTCGTTACAACCGAGGTATGCAGCAAAGCATTTGTGAAGCCACAACACGCACAACCTTGAGGCGGATGGGCTACAACAGCAGAAGACTCCACCGGGTACCACTCATCTCCACTACAAATAGGAAAAAGAGGCTACAATTTGCAAGAGCTCACCAAAATTGAACAGTTGAAGACTGGAAAAATGTTGCCTGGTCTGATGAGTCTCGATTTCTGTTGAGACATTCAGATGTTAGAGTCAGAATTTGGCGTAAACAGAATGAGAACATGGAACCATCATGCCTTGTTACCACTGTGCAGGCTGGTGGTGGTGGTGTAATGGTGTGGGGGATGTTTTCCTGGCACACTTTAGGCCCCTTAGTGCCAATTGGGCATCGTTTAAATGCCACGGCCTACCTGAGCATTGTTTCTGACCATGTCCATCCCTTTATGGCCACCATGTCCCCATCCTCTGATGGCTACTTCCACCATGTCACAAAGCTCTAATCATTTCAAATTGGTTTCTTGAACATGACAATGAGTTCACTGTACTAAAATGGCCTCCACAGTCACCAGATCTCAACCCAATAGAGCATCTTTGGGATGTGGTGGAACGGGAGATTCGCATCATGGATGTGCAGCCGACAAATCTGCGGCAACTGTGTGATGCCATCATGTCAATATGGACCAAACTCCCTGAGGAATGCTTCCAGCACCTTGTTGAATCTATGCCACGAAGAATTGAGGCAGTTCTGAAGGCAAAAGGGGGTCCAACCCGTTACTAGCATGGGGTACCTAATAAAGTGGCCGGTGAGTGTATGTGGAGGACGTTTATTGTTAACTCCTTATTGAAACCTTTCGCAAAAATGCCATGAACACTGTAAAAAAAAAAAAAGATTGGTAACACTTTATTTTACAGTGTCCTTGTTACATTTGTTAGGCTACATGTACTTACCATAGTATTAAAGGAAAAAATGCATAATTACATGCAACTAACCCTCAACCAAACCCTAATCCTACCCTAACCCTATATAGTAAATACATGTAGTTGCTTATTATTACTCAGCACTTAAATATATAATTACACTGTAACAATGACACCTTAAAATAAAGTGCAACCAAAAGATTTTTCAAAGTTGCAACCTTTTTTATGATTTTTCGACTGTTTTTGTCACGGGTGGTTGCAGGAAGGCAGACGAAGATGAAGAATAAAGTTCCAATACGAACTTTAATGATGATAATAAAAAAATGTAAAATGTCAAGACAACAAAATAATAATAATAATTAGACAGGAA